TTAACCCCCCCCCCCTTGGGCGGCCAAGTAAAAGACATCTTAAAAAGGGGGAAATAGAAGAAAAAAGGGAAAAAGGAAAACAGTAAAACGGCGCGATTATTGGAAAATGCTGGATCCGCCACTGGGTCAACCCCCCCCCCCCTTTGGCAAAAAGCTAGATCCGCCCCTGGATCCCGGTTCTATACTAAGTTTATATGCGCTAGTGTCCCCGATAGTCGACAATTTACGACTTTGAATATGAATTTTATTGTATTTCAACTTAGTATCCGGATCAAACTGGCACAGTTTCACATCTACTGTAGATGTACATGACTTGTATATCATATTAATGACGAACGTGAATCATGATAAAACAATGCCTTGAAGTTTTTAATCTAATACTATACTCAAATGTGGGTCAAAGATGAGAATGTTTATATTCCGCAGTCAGCGTTGTGTAAATAGGATTGATGAGGCGAAACACAGGTGTGAATACTTATGTTAAAAAGCGTCTTGGAAGATAGTAAATACGTCATTGTTAATGCAGGTCAAAATGGATGTCGTGTATCTGGGAAACACAACACGATTTTTAATCGCCTACGTGCCAACGAACGATTTTGAGCGCCATTTTACCGTGAGTTGTAAAAGCATCTAAGTGTCATCTCTCTCTCTCTCTCTCTCTTCTTTTTATCCCCATCTTTCATTGTCATCATCCCTTTCCCCTTTCTATCTCTGCATTACCATGTTTTTATTTTAAGTTTATTTTTCAATGCGTTATCTGTATTCTCTCATGTGCATCTAACTGTCCATTCTTGTCTTCGGGTACGTGTGCGGTATTTTGATGTCCTTTTTCTTTTCACAAGGCATTGCTCTTTTCACTCACTTTTCATGTTTCTCTCTTCGCACGTCTCTTTCACGCCTACAACAACCCCTTCCCATCCCCCTTCCCCATCCCCCCTTCCCCACCCCCTCTCTCTCTCTCTCTTTCTTTCTTTCCCCCACTTTTTCCTCTCTCTCTCTTTTTCTCCGTTTCATCCTCTCTCTTTGCCCCTCCCTTCCTTCTGTTACCGATTGAAATGCATTGATGGAAATGAAAATAAATCTCCCCTGAGTACACAGCCTGCCTCATGACGTCACCGATTGATTTAGGAAGCTCGTGTTGACCCGTCTACGTCGACGCACAATCGGACGCGATCGACGTTCTCTTATCGTAAATCTCTTTCGGCTTGTCAACCCCACTTATTCTTACGATGCATCAGTGCGTTTATTACTGTTATTATGTTACCTAGTAACCAAGCGTTGCTGCACTAGCTCCGCAACGTCTGTAGATGATTTATGCTAGTTTGAACAGTAACAAATGATTTTAACTTGATATACCACACTGCTTCAGGTCAAATCAAATCCTCCATGTCATAAAATGAGCAACTTGTTGCGAAAGCTACGCTGTATCAAAACTATTTCTATTTTGCATAGGTCAAACTGCGAAATTCGGACGATGTATACCCTACTAAATGAAAAAAACAAACCCTGGAAATTCGCGTAGCCAGCCAGGGGGTACTTGGTGCACAGCCATACCAAAATGTCTGGAAATTTAACAGAGATTCTGGGTCTACATTCCATGCAAGAATGTTACGTTTAATTCAAAATATCAGCTACCTATTCAGGTGAGGGGCAATAGCTCCCATCCTCTAGCTACGCTAGTGTCCCTTTTTGATAATTTTATTAATAATCCTTGCTCTTTTATTCAATTCAGCATAGGAGTAGGAGCGCTATGAGCTTTACATGTTAAAATATCATCATTATTCATACAAAAAATGACTGGCTGGAATGCTCCCCAGGGAGTAGAGATTGTGCACACAGTGTGTGCGGGCAAGCACTGAATCCAATGACCGGGGTCATAGTATATCTGTAAATCGCTTAGAGACATTTGTATTAAGCGCTATATAAGCGGAATATTATTATTATTATTATTATTATTGAAAAAATAGCAAACATATACTACATCAACACATGGGTGTTGTGCACTTATAACTATAGACATCGTATTCTAAAGAGTCAAAATGCCATTTTTTAAACACTAATCCGCACATATATTTTTTGTATTGTTTTTACTTTACATGAATTGAATGGTAATGATGAATAAGGGATGAAGAAGAGAGATTTTAACCAGGGCGAATATTACAGTCAAACTTGGTTTAAACAAATGATACAATATCATTACTATAATGCGAGCTGGGAGAACACTGGTATCCTAGCAACGATGTTTGAAACGCGGAAATCGATGAAAATTAGGGCGACTGGTTATGATAGAGCTTTGGTGAATTGCCGTTTGGGCTACAATCAGTTCGTCTACTACCCAATCGGTATATTCCATTATGGTCTACACAGAGCTCGTCTACTATCCATATGGTTTAATAATTATTTTGTCTACTTATCATTTGGTCTAATGATCTTTTAGGCTAATAGCCATTTGGTCTAATCTCCAATAAAAAAAACATTGTAATAAGCGCTATATAAATATAATGTATTATTATTATTATTATTATAAGTCTACTACCCAATTGTTCTATTATTCCTTTAGTCTCATAACAAGTTAGTCTAATAATTTAATTATTATTATTATTTATGATTAAATGATTATTAAACCATCATGGATAGTAGACAATATGGGCGTTGGAGAAACTGGAAATTAGGCCAACTTGAAATTAGACTAAATGAGCAACATACCATATGGATAGTAGACAGAGTTGGCATTAGAAACACTGGGAATTAGACCAACTGACTATTAGCCTAAACGGTCATTAGACCAAATGATAAGTAGACACAATGATCATTAGACCATGTGGATAGTAGACAGGCTCTGTGTAGACCATACGGGAACATACCGATTGGGTAGTTGACGAACTGGTAGTACACCAAACGGCAATTAACCAGAGCTTTTAGCGTAACCATTCGCCTGTAAGTAAACATCGCTTTAATTATTACCTCAATAACCATCAATAATGAATCTTTTCTTATTAATGAGTGAGCCTACTTTTATGCGTGTGCTCCATACTACCGATGGCTGTAAATATATTTCATTCTCGTAGGGATTGATTTAAAATAAATCCCTCACATATCTTTAAAATTTATTAAAACAACTTTCCTAAGCATATTCTTCAAACTTCAAAAATAAGAAAACTTTTCCTATTAAAATGTTTTTCTTTTAATATTCGACCATAGTACATAATTGTGTTCAAGAAGAAAAATGATTGTCGATGTAAAATAACCACCACCACATGTAAAAAAGTCAAATATCGCCACTGCATTCATGACTAACGTTCTCTCTCTCTCTCTCTCTCTCCCTCTCCCTCTCTTTCTCTCTCTCTTTCTCTCTCTCCATCTTCTCTAGTGTTTTCTATTTCCCGGGCTATTTCCCCTCTAAATCACCGCAACCTAGCCTGGCAATACTGATTATCGTTCGTGACTAAACAGTGTTAACAGCATTGAGAAGAATGTTTGGCTAGCAAGCTATTAAGCAAACACATGCGCCTGTTATTCACGCAAGGCTCTGTCCATGTAAATTTATTATTCGAAAAAGGACTCGATTGTCAGGCCAGGACATCTACAAATTACCAGCTCCTAAACTACTGCATTTTCAATGTATGCTTCTACCATACAATCACTATGAATTGAACTGACAAAGAAAGCGGACAAAATATACAGTTCCTCAGGTAGACAAAGGAACATCCCTTCACTGCTATTATGTAAAAATGTGTAGAACAGGTGCCACATGCATATTCACCTGTTCTTCACATTTTTACATAATAGCAGTGAAGGGATGTTCCTTTGTCTACCTGAGGAACTGTATATTTTGTCCGCTTTCTTTGTCAGTCATATTCATAGTGAATAGATCCATTTCGATGCTTTCCCGACATAGCGACCATCAATGCAATGCACTTTTGTCGTGTTCTTACCATTACATTGATATGCAAGAACTCGGTCGCCGGCTGGACATGCGTAGCCGCTGATACCATATCGCCAATTTAGGCTATTCAGGCAATGTAAATGACAGGGTTAAGGCTTGTCAGATGTTGTCGAGGTTTTCAATATGTTTATAAATAACTTAATTTGAATGGCAACTGCGCTCAACAAAGGGTCTATTTACTTGGCCCTGTGCTTACGTGAAGCGTGTTATAATTGTTTACGTAACGTCATCTTAAAAAAACGACGTGGTGTACCGCGTGATGTCTTAACGAGGCTATACAATAATAATAATAATAATAATAATAATAATAATAATAATAATAATAATAATAATAATTATAATATGTCTTGTTTACCCAGGGAAGCCTCATTAGTATTCATACTGTTCTCCCTGAGGGACCTGCAATCATATTATTAATCATACAGGTAGTTCCTCGACATAGCTCGTGTTTTACTCACTCATTGCTGAGGCGTTCACCACTTCTTCAAACAAAATTGTAGTTAAAAAAATTAGAGCAACACTGAAGGCACTGTTCAAAAACAGAATTTCTGACGCAAAACTCATATTCGCAATTGACTCAACTAATTAATAGAAGGCCACTTGCCAAAAGTTATTATAATCACATTTAGAGGATATTTTAAAACGTAGGAGTATTCTCTTTTAAATATGGCCCATCTACGGATCTCCGGATTAGAAAATTCGTTGTAATTGTTTTATTTTTTATCTTTATAATACAGAGTAGTGATAGAAAGATTTGTAGGCCGTATTATTAGCCTCAAATTAATACTTAATTCTCATTCAGATGGTTTACTACTTTAACATGATTGATTAACAGATGAAAAGGATAAGCATAGTGGCCACCCTTATCCTTATGCGCATGTGTTTTTTTAGTTTTTTTACCCCCATCCGACGGAAAACAGGGGGTGGTATTGCCTCTTACTTCTTGCCTTTATTTGCACAACTTTTTGTCCGTTGCATTATTCACTGGACAATGTCTGAACGGAACCTTAAAAATTAGCATGAGTCCCTCATTGGCATCTTTATGAATACTTACCCGGTACCAGAGGCATCTCCCCCAGAAATATTATGTCCCTCTTCCATCTGTGGGCCTCCTAAAGCGAACCTCTCAAGGAATGAATCTGCCCTCTTTGTAGGCTCCTCTGCACCACCTCGGGTCACCCATCCTTTAATCACCTACAGAGAGACAGAGAGAGAGAGAGAGAGAGAGAGAGAGAGAGAGAGAGAGGGGGGGAAATGCGTTACCTTGGTTACTAAAAGAGCTTGGGTATGATATCGTGATGGAGGTAGGATGGCGGGAAGGTATAACCTCCAGCTGTTCATGCAGGCCCATAAGGGGTATATAGTTTGTATCATGTTTCACAGTACATGTACTACAAATCGCAAATAAAACACTATTGATTATTCATAATCACAGTTTATGACTTCAAGGAAGAAATTACTGTAATATTGTGTTAGTGCAGATGGATTCGGCTATTGGAGTTGCACAAAAATTTCACCATGTACTATTTATTTGCTGATAATGGAAATGAAAGGAGAAAAAACAGTCAACCACAAAAGGTCAAAGGTCATAAATATATACATCCTTCGATATTAGAATGGAAATTTGTTTGCAGCCTTAAAATGTTAATGCGCAGTCCTATAGAAAGAATATAATGTGTGTGTTGGAGGGGGGGGGCTTGGGGTTTCGTGTATCAATATTCTTCACGTACCTCGGTTAAATAAATAAATTCAATTAAGAAGAATTGGAGGGTGGAGCCCCCAAGCCCCCTTCAAGAACTGTTAGTACTGCGTATGATCACACGCAAGAAAACGGGAATCAAACATTATAAGAAAATTCATTTTAAAGCTCATCTCTACTAGTTTGACCAGGGGATTAGACCTCCCTGCAAGGTCAATGACAGGTGGAGTATCACATCAAATCAGCTCTCAATAAGAAAAAGAGGATCATTGGGGACCAACAGGCACCGATTAGGCATTGTTTGCTATGTAGAGGGCGCAAGTAGCTATAAGTAGTGCAGTGGGGCTTTAATGGAGAACAATTCTTTATTTTAGTTAAACATAATTTATCTTATGAAAGCAGTTCAAGAAGTTACAAAGATAAGGAAACACGCAAAATCTTTCAATGTTGAGAAAGTTAGTGATGTTGGGAATTCATTACATAAATTTGGTATTTTCATTTGGTCTTGGATTGCCGGTTTTATCGCCAACATGCCAAATGAATCGTTTCCTGTTTGTATATTATACAAGATCATGGGGTAACAAGTAAATGTAGTTCACATATCCTCCTGTGAAAGTTTTTATTTAAATAATTCTTCTCACAGCAGTTGAGAACGTAGTATTTCTAATGACTGAGCAACAGCACGATATCCCTTTCGTTTTCTTATACATCTTTCTTCAGAGATTCGTTGTGAATGTTGTGGAAATAGGTGCATACTCTGCTATTTATTGGCTCGTTACTCCTCTTCGTGTTAGTGTATTTATTCCCCCCCCCCCCCCTTTTTTTTTCTGTATCGTATTTTATTGAACCCGCAAACAATTATTTATCAAATTACTGCCGTCATACTTTTAATTGTGTACTTCTCTCATCTCTCTCTACAGTAAACATTTTCTGTCCATGTCATTTTTTCAAGTCTCCCAGGAACCTATTGTTTTACAAGCTCTGCTTTTCTTTAGGTTCCTGCAATTTTCACAGTTTGTACTTTTCTTGTCTGGGTTTCCTTTAAATGATATTAGTTGTCAAACAAATGTGATGACATGTAACTTTGTAGTCTGATTACTTTGTCAATTACAATAATCATTTTTTTAAATTATGAAACTATATATCTTTTATGAATATTTTGTTTTCTGTATTATATCTGCATGTGAAATGTGAAACCAATAAACTCAAACTCAAACTCAAAACTCAAATGTTTTTTGCGTGCAATTTACAGAGATGGATTCAATTTATTGTTCGTGGACGCCGGAGATGTTCTTCCACTCTGATAACACATAACTCTTTACATAAGGGAAGATCTTTAAACCGTCCTGAGATTCAGTAGATACAGTATGTATACGTATGCCACTGATCCCCCTCCCCACTGACCTACCCCCCCCCCCCTCCACAAATCAATTTTGTTCGCAATTCCCACAGTGGTAGATCTATAGGGGTTTCTCATTGCGGGTGGTAAGATTCTTTTTTTTTTTAATTATGTGTTTATTAAGAAATCAAATCATAACATATACAAACTTTCCAAAAAATACAAATGCTGTGTTACAAAAGAAATTAATGACAAATTAAGATATTTACAAACGATTGAGATGATCTGGGGGAAAAAAAAGGCAGAGTACACGTAATAGAAATAATCAGAATTATAACAATTACAAGTACAAAAGCAAGAACCTCGAGATAGCATTGCATCAGAAACTGAAAATTTCGTTGGGCCCAAAATGAAGAAAAAGGAGTAAAAATAAGCCATCCACAGGTACAATGGAAACTCCAGACCACCAACAGGATGGTAAGATTCTATTAATGAACAGGAAATAATCTTTTTTGGAAGCCTAGTTACAGTATATTATTACAGCAGGCATCCCCTCTATTTCAACATCACGACTGCTTTACATATTATGCTCGACAATTACCTCGACATTTCATTTATAAAACATTAATTTTCCTGTTGCATGGAGTTCTCGTTTCCCTCTGTCAAAAGTAAAAACCATAACATGGACTAAAACACCCTATAGACAAGGATATTTTGTGATCTGTTGACAATCTTATCAAATATTCACCACTCCCGTAATTTGTAAAATGGGATAAAATTACGACCTTCTAAACGGCCCCGAACGGTTTGATGAAAAGTGTGCCTTGTCACGCACGCTCCCGGTACGTATATGTATTGAATGCATTCAATATACAAAGTTTGTCCATTATTGTTAATTAGGAATAGTGCTCATTATGCATCGGCTAGCTCACCTCGTAAAGGTAGAAGTGACGATGATTGTGCTAATAATTTACTAGGTTTCTAGAAGGTCCACTCATAATAGGGTGGTTTGCATTAATGGTTTCCGTATGATACACATTGGGGTAGGCCTGCATGTGAGATATCGGATAATGTTCTTCCAATAAATCATCTATTATAAATCATCCTGTTCTCGATGTTCATGTGGTATCTTAGGCTTGAATGTTTCTTTTCACATACTTTCTGTTGATGATTATTCATGCCTACATACTATCTATAAATCTAAGTGCCATAGCTTGGGAAAAGACAGAACTCGCCACCAGTTGGTGTTATCAATCTATGTCTTGGTCCGTCGGTCGGAGCATCTTTATCATTTCCATCATTATTCAATGGGATTTACCAAGCTATTCTCCTCACATTTATCCTGTCTGGAAAAAAAAAACATTGCCCTCTGCCCCCCCCCCCCCCATTGTTTTCTCGATTTCTTAAATTCAAATTGAAATTCAAACTTTACTAATTTCAATCCAAACGGATAGGATCATTCTCAATCGTTTGTACATTGGATAACGATTTCTTTAGAAAAAAATATACGGTAGGTTCAGACGCCCCCGCGCCCCCGCCCCTCCTTGAAGCACGCTTCTGGATTCGCCATTGTCAAGATAGCATACACGAATCGTGTTCTCTTACCACCCGTCAATTCACGATTAAGGTCTAATCGTATGCTTTCTGCTGGTTTTAATAGAGGGTCAATACTTATGTAAATCTTCTGTACGCTTCGCTATCCCTGAGGGGAAAGACGCGCTCTTCTCTAAGCCACAGGTCTCTAGGTTTCTGGCTCTCTAATTACTCAAAAAGCAATATTGCTATTGTCGCATCAGTGTGCAATGCATCGCACAAAACCTTCTAGACTCAACAGTTTTTGTGTCTCCTTGCATGATAATCAAAGGCCTTGTTATATTCCAGTTACTTTACCATCTAGTCCATTAGGAAATACCGTGGATAATGGAACGCCGTTAATTCATAATAGTTTCTGCGTACATGGTTTTATATATATATTATATTACCAATTTTCGTTCGAGATTCTTTTGGAGATGTCTGTCAACACATACCAGTCGTGTCGTTATGTTGCGTATGACATGATTTCATTTGCCAGTGTGTTTCAATGCATAGCGTTCAAACTCAAAACAAACATGGAAATGCAGTCTCAAACTAGGATGACATTTCAAAAGCAAAATATGTGCTTTCCTATTTCTGTTTTTTTTTCAGCCAAAGTGGCTTTCACAATACACATGAAGATAACATTTTGTATCGCAAGCGGCAATCAGCCTAGCAATATTTCTTCAAAACATTATTTTAATGAATGAACAAGCTGTAGCAGTACATTCGTACCATCATTTATATTTGATTTCGCCGCCGGAATATTTGTTCCCACATGTCATTGTTTTGTCTCTGAGCTACTGCGAAAGTTATGGAAAATTGTGTCAACTGTGGGGGCCTGAAAACAACTTAGATTTGTAAGATTATCCCTCATTTAAGATCACTCGTGAGTTTCTGTTCGATTTATGGGAAGTGTCACATTAACGAGGAAATAAAAATCATAGTCAGTTCGGTGTTTCTAAATTAGATCATTTAATTCCTATCGTAAAATAGCACATACAAAAGTCAATCGCAAAAAAGGAGTTTGTTTGTGTTTTTAAGTTCATGATCATTTGTGAACAAGAGGCAGAAATCATACGTTTGAATGAGACTACTTTAACCGTTTATAAAAATACATTAGTGTACTTATCTTATCAAACGAGTTGAATATACCTTAATTGATATATTTCTTTATGTTGGTATTTAGTTTTAATAAACAGATTTATATACGTCTTTTAAGACACAAATTCTTCTACGTATTAAAGCATGTATGTGTAGCTTCTTCTGCTTTGAATGAGCAATGAATTGTATGATGCATGTATATCATGTGTGTTTGTGGGACAAATAAACAATCCTCGCTTTTGTGCTCGCTATAGAGGACTGTGCAGCCGATCGTAATAATAACCTATCTTTTTTTCTCATCAGACAAAAGAAATCTTCCGAACTGCTTGTTTTAATGCATATATTACTGCAGACAAACTTTCAGCTATAATATCCATCAGGTGACGTAACTATGAAAAATGCCATGTGATTGATAACCTTTTTATGGGTCAGATTTTAATCCTAAATTCAATTAGTTTCAAGGATATTGTCCCGCCATGGTTTAGATGGATACACACTGACATACTAAATTGATAGACGAAAATATCCTCAGGTTACACCGGCTTGCGTTATTATAAATCATTGTTCCGCTCTCTAGCTCTAGTCATGCTCTCCATCTTGCTTTCTTTATTATTTTGCTCTCTCTCCCTCTCTCTCTCTTTCTCTCTCTCTCTCTCTCTCTCTCTCTCTCTCTCTCTCCCTCCCTCTCTCTATCTATCTATATCTGTTCTCCTGACAAAATCATCAGTTTTCTCACTCTGTCACTATTATCCATACTCTGCTTATTCTTCTCTCCGATAATCTTGACGCATGACGCTATAAATAATTAATAAATAAAACAAATAAACGTATTAACTAATCACTTCATTACAATATAAACAAATTAAGAGATGGTAAATTCGGCTGTAAGTCTTTGTCAAGTGATGTTTTCGTACGGATAATATCTTTTTATATCGATATGGTAAATAAAAGGCACGAGACAGAAAAATTCACTGGTTACCAAGAATAGTTAAACATTTCTGGTCTTTTTTAAAATATAAATTACGTCTAGCGTCCTTGTGTTACTTTAATTGTCTCCGTCCCATGCAGTAGCTCGAATTAGATATATATATATAAATATTTATTTATCGTCAAGATGCAAGATCGACGGTGTAGCTGCAACCACTCGTATGTTTATTTTTGTTTAGTTTTCGAGATCGCTGCTTTCTTTGAGGGCTCTGCAATGGAACATACAACAAAAATGAAGCACACTGGAACAAAAATAGAATTGCTATTCAAGTATCACTTTAATTCTATCTTTGTTCCTTTGCGTTCTAGTTTCTGCTCTTTTTTAAATTTAAATTTTTAATAGCCCAAGAAGAGAAAGCAACGATGCGAAAGGCTTGACACAAATAATCATATAAGTGGTTACATTAATATCCTCGGTCTTGACTCGTTTGTGTTTCAGTATTTTACACAAGACAGCCCGTTTTGTATATGATGTTTACCAGTCCACTCTTAACAATGAAATCTATCATTCCCCCTCTCACCCCCCCCCCCCCCTCTTTCTCTCTCTCTCTCTCTCTCTTGCTAATCACTCCCCTCTCTCCCTCTCTGCCCCAACTCTTGTTTATATCCATACCCGCTATTTCTCTCTCCTTCTCTCCCTCTCTCTCTCTCTCTCTCTCTCTCTCTCTCTCTTTCTGCTCATTTCTTCTTATACTTAAGCATCCCCGTGCCTTCTCCCTTATCCCTCTCTGTTTTGATATAAAATATATTTCTTTCTTTTTCTTTTTCTATTTCTTTTTCTTTCTCATTCTCTTTCTCTTTCGCTCTTTCACTCTCTCTCTCTCTTTCTGTTCTATCTCTCTCTCTCTCTCTCTCTCTTACTCTCTCTTTCTATCTCTCTCTTACTTAATGTCACTCTCTTTATTTCTGAAGGAAGTTCTCACTAGTAATCGATGAAAGCCCTTGACCTTTGAATATTCAGAGTTTAAATCGTTTTCTGTACGTAGGTGCAATGCTTTCTTGAGCCTCTTCGTCTCTGTGTTGTGTAACTTATAAATGCAACAAAATTGCGTATTTAAAAGCCCAACTATGTTTGTTTTTTATTACCTTACTTCATCATTCAATTAATGCTTCATGATCTGGTTTGCAAAAACAGGGAAAATACCCCCTTCAGATCTTCGTTAGCTTACACAATATTTCAAAATTCGATACCATTATGTAGACACATTAAAAGAAAAAAATCTGATAATAAGGTAGAAAATTGCATAACATGTTTTAAAACACGGAATAAACTAACTTTGGAAGGGGAATAAAACTATGATTACGAATATATTTTGAAACCAAGTTTTGTGAACATTTAAACTTAACTACTCGATAAGGTATATCGACAAATTGTGAACATTATCATTGGCTAAATGTGTTTTACAGAAAGTTTTTACATCTTCAAAATGTAAATTAATTCAATTCAATTAAAAAAATGGAACAAAAGAAGCATGAGTCCGAAGACTTATATTGTCATATTTACAATAAAATACAAGGAAACGTGAAACAAAGTTTTATAAATATACATTGATATGTAATAGTTCAAAAATAACTAAAATGAAGAAGACAAAAAAGAACGTGAAATTATGCATTAAAAAGATAATTTTAAATAGAAATTATCAATTTATATAAATGGGGTAGATTTTTACAAGCACTGAACACCTGAACAAAATGACTTCCAAAATCCAATATTAATAGTCCGCGTCTTTGATAGCATCATGCATTCCTATTATCTACGAGATCTACTAAATTAGAAAACCCTCTCCCTTCCTCTCCTTCTCCTTCTCTCTTAATCTCCCTTCACCCCCTGTCTCTCTAACTACATATCTCTCTATCTATATAGCTCTATCTCTATCCACTCTCTGTATGTCTGTTTGTCTATATCTCCCCCTCTCTCTCTCTCTCTCTCTCTCTCTCTCTCTCTCTCTCTCTCTCTCTCTATATATATCTTTATCACCTACTTTCCCCCTTTCCCTCTCTATCTATGCATTCAATGTATTTGTTTAAATTCAATATATTTGTTTAATATCGTTTATTATCTGTATAAAATTATATACACTTGGAATATTGTATCAAGCCATATTATGTTCATGAAAATGTATGATGAAAAAAAAAAAAAGATGCAGAAACCAATAAATCAAATCAAATCAAATGCATTTCTATATCTATATATATCTTTGTTTTCTCTTTCTCTGTCCCTCTCTCCTTTCTCTCCTTTTCCCTCTTTCTCTCTCTCTCTCTCTCTCTCTCTCCCTCTATCTCTACCCTCTCTCTCCAGCCCGCTCTCCTTCCTCTTTCTCGAGCCCTCTCTCTCTTTCTCCCTCCATCTCAATGTCTTAAGGTGATGGAGTATCGTAGGTAGAACGTTGATTAAATTCATGTCGCTCATGGCCATTTCATTATTTTTATCGCTCTTTTAATTCAGATTGCGGGATATAAAAGTAGAAACCACTTCGGTTGCTAAGTCGGAATGTATTATCCTTATTTAGTGGCATGCATTAGCTCACCCTTAGCATATTAATTCACAATATGACATGTTTCATAAAAGTGATGTTTTTACGATGTACTTAATTTTTTTTCTCCTGTAGTAAAATGAATGAATGCATGATTTTTATGTTTCGGAAAAGTGATTTGGTTGAATTTTCTCTAATTTGAAAATGTCCGTAAATATAAATCCGTCAGACCAGTTGATAAATGCAACAAACATCGAATTACACAGTCTTATTTATAGTTTCTTTATCATTTACGATACACATTTAGTTTCATATATGTTTCGATAGCATATTTTGGTTAATTACGTCACCACAAAACGTGTAAATTTTTTGTCTTGATCTTATGACAAAATATAACTGTGGCAACTCAGATTTTTCCACCAATGTAATGACTTATAAATGCTCGACTAACAACATTTCTATGGGGAACAGGTGCATGAAATGATGCACTAATGCTGTTTTTTTTTTTTTTTTTACCTTTTATAAATATATAACGCTTGGATAGTCGGAAGAAACAATGCTCTAAACCATTGATTTATGAATACAAGATAGACTGTTACATGCATGGTACAGTAAATACAGTTGATAAAATGGTTTTGATTTTACATGTATTTGAATCAATTCTAAAATATCAATCTCTCAACCCAAATAACACAAAGATTAAATTAAACCATTATCAAAAGGAAACTTGATTGTGAAAGGCTAACTCGTTTATAAACTATGATCAACATAACTTGTCAATTTAAATCGTAGGTTATTTTTGTTTATACTTCTCACGATACTTGTATCCTTTCCCTGTATTTTCCGGACCGATTTATTTTTCTTTATAAGAGAATGATTAAGGAACTAAACTAGCCAGAATAAGAATACATGGTCAATATTGTGTCCAAAACCTGCACTTTAAATATGAATTCCATTCATAAAGTTGCAATTGTCTAGTTCGATTTGATCGTTCCAATCAAAATGTCTGGTGTTTTTTCTGACCATTCAGGCACCCTTTCTTGAATAAGTATAAATACCTATTTCCTTTTCACTAACGTAAATTTGTATTTCAAACAGTAATTATTGAAACTCACACGACTATAGCATTTGATTGCTATGAAATGTATTGATGTAGGTAAATGAATCAAATCAAATCAAATAATGATTGAGGCGGGGGGGGGGGGTGTCTAAACTCACCTGTAGTGTACCCACAATCCTTCCCATGGCACTGATTCTTCTAGTCCTCTCATCTTCATCCCCATCAGCTGTATCTCCCTGATGACTCCCATCCATGTCAGAGTAATCACTCTCTCCTCCTCCTCTTCCTCCGTCGTCATGCTGATTAGGAACCAACTCTTGTTGACTTGAGAACTGTTGAACGTTCCCATCTTCAACCCCCTGGTCTTTATCTTCTTCGTTCTCTTTCTCCATGATTCCTGTCAGTCAGTTAGTAAGAAGCTAGACGAATCTAGCGGGTTAGTGTTGATACTCCCGTGCCAGCATCCTCCATTCAAAGAATCCAAAATGGCGGACTTTACTGGGGATGAACAGTCAACTTACTGCCAAGCATATATCACAAGGGTTTTTCAGTCTATCTGCATGGTCAGGTAATCACACTACTCTTCTGAATTGATAAATTAGATATGCAATCCACGTGATATTTACCATATACTATGCGTGAAGCAAGCACTTTCATCAAATTATTTATTGTTTGATATTGTGTCGGTAGGGATGTTATAACTTGTCCAGATTTGGATACATCGATGAGCAAGCCTGTCCAATATAAAGCTCTTTTACTTCTTCAGAATATTTTATTTTAAAAGGGTTATTTCAAACACATAAAGATAAAGGGAAGCACAAATGGATTAGTGCAAATATTTTTAACGAAGCAGACCTTTATGGAAAAGCTTACTTTTGTAAAATTTTCTGTAAAAACCATTCGCTAAATCAAACTGTATTCAAAATTTAGATTTGATATGTTCTTCCGCTCTTTTCTCAACACATATTTTGAGTTTAATTGAAACTGTCTCGTGGATCAATTTAAGGCGTTTGGTTGAAAGAACTTATCGATTAGAATGTACGGCACGTTAATACCATGAACATTAATTGCCGAGATATACAAAACATCTAAAGTAAATTCAGATATTGTCGTTGTCCTGAGCTATAATGGTATTCCATAACAATTTGTTTGTATTAGATTCTCTCGGCTGTCACTGCAATCAAAGGTCTGAGCTTGTCTTCATTCTCATTTTAACGGATTTAGAATGGTAATCAAGGCGATGATGAAATATGAAGAGAGAGAGAGAGCGTTGCTAGGCAGGTGACTTAAAACAGGTTGGACGTAGACGGTCTTCACTTCTTGACATACACCTGCTATATCTAGAAAGCAAACCAGTTAAATGCGTAGAGATGATAATCCACCTGCTTGTCTGATAGAGAGGAAGAGAATGTGAATTATTTCACAACTTCCACCGTGAAATCAATTTCCTGTAATACTTGTTGTATACTGGTCATTCACACACTTTTTATTCCGTTGTAAAATGATATGTAGAAAGACCTCCTCTGTAGAATGTTGACCGAGATGTTGTGATTTTAACGATTAGGTGTAAGATTGAAACGAAGGCGTAGAGTATCACAGCAAATTCGACTGATTGCCAGCAACTGATATTAATTATTCACTTGCTCTTGAATAACTTATCATTTTGTGCAGAAACAAGACTTTCTGCTGCGATCTAGTTAGTTAAATAATGTCTTCCAGTATCCAGATTTAAATTAAAGCACGGTTAAACACTTCTGGTCTCGTATGATATTTTTTAAATAATAAATGAATATAGATATATATCTGCCTGTCGTTTCTCTTTTGATTTTTAGTCTTCGTGTCTGCTGTAAAGGTGAGACGATACTATGCTTCGAAAGACGTCGTTATCATTTATTGATGGCTTATACAAACAACTAGATTCGTTGTAAAAGAAAACCTATGTGGCAAACTGGCTTTCACCTGAAATCACTTCGAAGAATTTGAATCCTTTCAAGAAAGAGTTTCACACGATGCGAGACGATGTTAATATAACCACCTGTTCTACTTTCCAACAATATCTAGGATCCGAAAAGAAATCCTCCGGAGTCCGATCACAAAATGGCCGCTGCTGTAGGAGTCCCAGATATCCCGTAGCTCCAACCACTTTTCATATCCCACTTGTGTGTTTGACTAGTTCATCTCCGATACTTGGCGTTTATCATTCTCTCGATTGTATGCAGAGAAACAAGTCCGCATCTTTGTGTTGAAGCAAGCAAAGCGTTGCCGTCATATTGCCATAACAATCACGCGGCGGTGCAAGGGACGGCCATGAGAGCATGTGAGGAGCAACGCGATTCTGTTCGCTAGAAAGAAAATAAGGGGATTAGATGGGTGATGGTTGTGATGGTGCCGGTGATGATGATGATGGTGAAAACGGTATGCCCTTACACCCAGAACACTTTTATCAGTAACCTCAGCGATCCAGTCGTTTCCCAGAGAGGTGCCAGCTGCACATTTCCCCACGCTATTTTGATTTCGATCCGAGTTAGATGTGAATATAGCAATGCTACGCACCTGTTGTGATAAATTGGGCGTAATAAGAAAAACAGTTTTCTTGGCATCATTGATTTTTCTGCTTCGTGCGCTTGACTTTCTACCAAAGCATACAATAAACGTTTCGAATCAATTGAAATAAATACACCCAGATCTATAAAACAATCGAATGGTCATTGAGCTCTCCTGCCTGAATTAATTTACAACTAAATAAGAATGGCTGGGAGAACGATTTAAAACTTATTCGCACATAATATGATTTTCTAATAAGATGTTAGTCAATTTCCGTTTAATTCTTTTATTACCTTTTTATGATATGCTATATAAAGGTGTCCATGAATTTTATATAATATTAACATAATCTATCAAGATTATTGATTAAGTCACATTAAAATCATAATATTCTTTTCAATATTATCTCCACTTTGTATGTTATACTTCGTGTTATACTATCAATCATTCGTTATTTCTCTCTGCTGATGGAAATCTCAAGGTACATGAAGTTTACCTTCAGAAAATAATGCAGCGAATGTATTTCGGAAGCAACGGAATAGAAAAAAGTGAGCATTAAGGATTCAATGGAAGCACAAAAAATATTATGCTTTTAATGATTCTTTAAATAATCTCTTGAGAATGATAACACGTACGGTGTCTGCTCCATTGATGCTTATAAAAGCCTGGGCAGAAGACTGGGTATAGAGCTAGCTTGGCTTGGCTCGCATCATCTCGCTACTTGGTTTAGGCGGGTATACATACACGCTTCGACGATTTGAGATATTTGCGCGTTGCTATGGACAACGGGAGCAAATCTAATTTGAATAGCAAGGAGGATTGCTGATTATGATCATCCCAGAGCGGACTCGTGACGTATGACTCAGTCCATCGACAGTGAGGAGACGGGAGGAGAAGAGAATGAGATGAAAGATGCAAGCACTAAACGGTGGAAGACAGATAGATATGGGGTAGTTGCGGAAGAACAGATTGAATGGGTGAGAGAGGGAGAGGACAGACGAGACAGAGAGAGAGAGAGAGAGAGAGAGAGAGAGAGAGAGAGAGAGAGAGAGTAGGGGGTAACAAGATAAATAAAGGATTTTATTTATTTATTTATTTATTAAAAAATATTTATTCAGGATGACAATATCAACCAAGGCTGTTTTTCATATTGGTCTTGTATATATACATACATGGTAAAATACAAACAATGAAATACAAAATATCAATGAAATACAAATATCATTGAAATATGCAAAACATGAATAGATTCCATGGATATTAAATAATGTAACATTTTATAAAATAACCAGCGACTAGACACATGGATTTACATTCAAAGGTTTACCCAGAATCACAAAAAGAATGATTTGAAACAAAGTAAATAACAAACAAAAAACAAACAAACTTGTATTAACTAAAGTGGGTAACAAATATTTACACACATCCATGGAGATATTGGTTGTTTAGAACATTAATGAAAGTACATTCTTTTTATAAAGGTATTTAAATGTAGAAATAGATGTTAAATTCGAGTTCCAGATAACTCCTCCTGAGTACATAAGAGAAGGGTGATGAGGAGAAGCAAAACAGGGGTCCATAATTAAAAAGAAGTGGATTTAGGAGGAAAAGTAGAACAAACAAAGAAAGATTGGGAGAGAGAAGGTAGGTAAAGAGACAACGTTGAAGTAAAATGAAAGCATAATTATATCATCAGGAACCATGGAGGTTAATTAATAGAAAGAAACATTTTTTTTAATTTTTTTTTTAAGCAATCCTCATATATTGGTTGTTGTTTTCATTATTTTGTTTCACCATAATGTTGTGACCGTCAAAGTATTGTGTTGTTGTCATCAGGTTTATGTAGCGGGAATGTAAAAATTAATATAAGAATGGAACAAATAAAAAATAAAGTAAGTAAGAAAGAAAGACTCGACGTCATTTTTCAAAGCATATTTGTTAGTAATTCTGTTCATTTCCATAACACAAGTCAAAGCAAGTTTATCAGACAAACCCCCTTTACGTACAACCCCTGCATTGAAATCTTTTCGAAATGTGGGAATAAGCAAATGGAATGACTTAAATGAGGACATAAGATCAATTTCAGCTTTGTCAAGATTTAAAGTTATGTGTAAAAAAGAACTATTTATGCATTTTGTAAAATTGGGTAGAACTATAAGTTTTCATCTCATGTTTTGCATTCTTCATGTGCTTCCTCTTCTTCTTCTTTTTCTTTCCCTTTTTCTTTTTGATATTCTTCTCTCTTCTTCTCTTTCTCTCCCTCTCTCTCCCTCTCTCTCTCTCTCTCTCTCTCTCTCTCTCTTTCTTTATAGAATGCTTTCATGTGCATTGCATTATGTGTGAGTATGACTGAGTGTGTTTGCAAGATATTTGAAACTGTTTTATAATAGCATAAAATATACATATATGTTTTTTTGTAATTGTATGTATTTTACTGTATGTTAATGGGCCCCATTTACAAGCTTTGCTTCTCAGTGTTCCATAATTATATAACATGTCATTATATTGTAAATTTACCAGTACCAGTGTGATTGTAAGTTATTTCTAAGGATTGGTTGAATAAATTGAATTGAATTGAATTGAAGTGAAGAGATCAATACAAATGAGACGGATTTAAGTAGGCCGTAATATAGAATGAGGAAAAAATAGTTGAGATTGCCACGGTGGCTTTAGAATGGGCAAAATGGAAATATAATTAAAGAGATAAAATACGTAAACACTAGAATAGAATGGGAGAAGGCGGCAAAAGAGAGATGAAAAGACGACATATAGATTTAAAGAAAAAATTAAACTTAGACATAGAAAGTGAGATAGACTTGAAGACACAAATAGATAATGAACGAGAAAATAGAAAGGGGAGACTGGGCGAGAGGATGAACAAGGGTGTAGAAAGAGCAAAGGAGAGAATTTAATTGAAATAATTGATAGAAAGGAAGAGGAGACGTGAAGGGGCATTCTGATATAATGTATATAGCAATGTCACATAAGTGGTGATCTTCTTGGTATGAAAAGCCAAAACAATCAAAGCATATGAAAACTGGAGGCAGTGATAAACAAGTAGCAGATTGAAGTTGTCTCCACCAATCTCGGACGGCTCTCGGGCAGAATAATGATGTTGGTAGAGAGATAGCTGGCAGAGCTCTACGACATTAGCTGACAGTGTCATAGGATGAATCAGATTGAGTATATTGTAAAATGCATCGATAAGATGTCAATTCGTAGAGCAAAATCATATCGGAGAAACAATGACAAGTTTAAGAGAGGAGTAAATTGAAGAAAAGACAAGTGAACGGAAAATGGGATGTGGTAAAGCGGGGGTAGGTAAGAGAGAGGGAGGAAAGAGAGAGAGAGAGAGAGAGAGAGAGAGAGAGAGATAGGGGGGGGGGAGACAGACAGAGAGAAAGAGAGACAGACAGAGAGACAGAGAACCGGGGGAGCACTAGCTGTTTTTACACACAACATTATACATATCGAGTGCTCCTTCAAATTGGTAGTTCACAATGAATCTGGTTTTACCGCTGTGCATCGCCATTACACACATTAAGATAACATGTCAATTTCTTTTCTCAACATGAAAAAGGCTTTGAAGAACAATGAGACATGAACTCTCTCATACTCTCAAAGATCTTTCACATTCAAGTCTATTTAAAGAATCCCATCGCGTTTTAAGAAAAATAGAATACATTCTTAGAGCGCCTTAGTTTCACCTCGCTGGTCTGCATTCCCCAAAACAATCACTTAGTGGTCAATAAAGACACCCGAGCTTCACCATATATATAGATGCTCCATTCAGATATATATTTTTCTTGATTAATTTTATCTATTTATTCTGACAGGTTACCTATTGATCTCAGGTATATAGAAATGGAATGCTCTGTTTCAAGTACAATTAATACTGCCGAGAAAAGAATTTTTCACTGCTTCTTGTCCTAAAATCGTTTGTTAAGGAGCATTTGCCTTTCTTTTTCCTCTTTTTTTTTTTGGGGGGGGGGGGGGTGTCAGTCCCTGATGCTAGTATTAATGCCTAAATGATTCTTTATAATTATTATGCCTAAATATATATTTTTTATTATTCGGCTAAAAGGTTTCTTCCGAAATCACTTAATACGTTGGTTATACTTAAATACACATTAAAAAATGTTTGTTATCATAATTCCATATGATATGTTCAGGTGCCTTCTGTTTCACAAGCTTTTTTTTAAGGTATCCTTTCATCTATTATATGCCCAAGTACACTGTTGGTCATAATGGTGGAATATTTATTTTTACCCCAGTTTAGGGAGGGATTTAAAAAAATTATTTATTTCTAATAGATCTAGATAATGGCATACATTCTCAGATTTTATTGAATATTAATCTGCGAGTGTTTGTTTTGCGTGACTGCTAAATCATATTTGTGTTACTATGCTAATCAGCTAGGGAACCTACGTCCTTAAATCATAATTGACAGTAATGAGGATTAATGCCTCACAAAAGGGCACTTATATAGCTGATCGACACGATTTTTATCCTGGGGCCTCACAGTAACGAGGCCATTGCTTAGCCCCTGAATCATGACTGTACGCAGTGTTTGCTAGGGTACGCAGCCGCCCCCACAAATCCCTCAAAACGAAGAAAATGCAATAAATTGTCAAAAATTCATTGCATTTTCCCCCGGCCCCCAACAGGAAAAATTCCTCTGTGTGGCCATGCCTTGAACCATAATGCATGGCCCTACAGAGGAATTTTTCCTTTTGGGGGCCGGGGGAAAATGTAATGAATTTTTGACAATTTATTGCATTTTCTTCGTTTTGGGGGATTTGTGGAAGGGGCCGCGTACCCTAGCAAACACTGCGTACAGTCATGATTTAGGGGCTAAGCAATGGCCTCGTTACTGTGAGGCC